TCTTTCTCATTCTCTCTAGCTCTGTATCACTCTTTTCCTCTCTTTTTGCAGAATTTGCATTTGTCTCTCTGTCTAGAGTCTCTCTTTCTATCTCACTATCTGTCTTTCCCTCTCTATCTCGTTATATCAGTCTATCAATCTATCTATCTAGCCAGCTAGATATCTATCCATTTATCTCCCCCTCCCTCTTTCTCTCTCTCACATGCACACACGCACATACAAACATAAACACGCAAGACACACAAACACACATAGATCTAGATTGTTTGATAGATAGATAGATAGATAGATAGATAGATAGATAGATAGATAGATAGATAAAAAGAACTTAACACGAACCAAGGCCTACATTATGAGACGCTAGGATTATTCTTTTAGACTCTCAGTGCCATCCTTACCGTTGTATTGGTTTGTAGTAACCTCATCCATCTATCCGTCCATTCATTCAATTTCCTCCGTCTCCCTCTCCCTTTCTCTCCCTCTCTCTCTCTCTCCGCTTGGTCAGTTCAGATCCTGCTGTGCTGAGGTGTGGTGGCCTTGTGTGCGTGTGTGCTGCTGCTGTGTAAAAAGCTTCTGTGTTGAGTTGACCCAGAAAAGCCTCTTGCCTGCCACTGCCACACTTGCCTGCCAATCCTGCCTGCCACACACACATTTGCGGTGTCAAAGAGTAGCCACAGAAAGGCCATCGACCGATCCGAAGACGAAGCAAGTCATGGGAGATGAGCGTGAGTTGTATTTTTCTACTTTGTGTTCTCATCACAGCTAGATCTATTTACTGAGTAATTATGTCATGAATATAATGTCTATGTGTTGTGTTCACTGGCTGAAGTGATATTTCGTGCGCGTAACCTGAGTGTTTCGTGTTGCACGTGGAAGTTGTTGTTGATGTGTGTGTAGTATGTCTCTGTCTGTCTGTTTCTTTCGCTCTCAGTCTGTCTTTTTCTTGCACACACACTCACACACCACTCACACTCACACACCACTCACACACACACACACACACACACACACACACACACACACTCTCCCCCCCCCTCTGTCTCTCTCCCTCCACCTCTACTCTGAATGAATACCTTGAATGCGTAGTTGGTCGGCGGGTGCTCTGGTGTGGTTTGCTCCTTGTTTCCTATCAAACATCTATCATCCTGATCTCTCCTCCTTCTGTTTTGTGTTTGTTACTTTATTGTAACACCTCTAATCTTCGGCACTGATATGACCTTATTGTGTTGCAAGTGCCGTAATACTCTTACTAAAACTCAAACCCTCTCTCTCTCTCTCTCTCTCA